TGCTGAACCAGGTAGGTACACAGATATGTGTATGTGGAGATATATATATATATATATATACACACACACAGCCCCAAGACTGTAGCTTTTGTGTACTGGTGAACCAGCATGAGTGGATAAATGTACCACCGTATGCTCATGGGTGGAGCTGGGGAGGAGCGGGGTTAGTGGCAACACGTGGACTCGTGACTAATTGGACTGTGGAGCAGAGCTGAACGTGAAGCGAATGCTGACTTCCCCCTGAATAATGCGCACAACTGGCGTGGCACTCCTGCGTTCTTCAGCACAGTCCTCATCTGTGTGGCTGCTCTGTTCAGGTCCCCCTTAAGCATTTTCTGATACTGGGGGGCTATTCTATGGGCTAACTTTTCTCCTGAGGGAGACTAGCTGACTGTGGACAGGAGGTGGGTGAAGGGACAGAGACATCTAAGAGGGCTTTGGGTAGGTCTCCCCATTTCTCTCTTGATGATGGCTAATCTCAGGGGATTAGTGAAGGCTACGCTGGTGAGAGCATTTTCCTGCCATGGCAGTAGCCTGCATGAATGTCGTAGCAAGCAGTTTTGGGCTGTTCTGTGGGTGTCTTCCAGTATCTCAAAAAGAAGGAAAAACAAAAGTGATTTAACAGGGGCGTGCTTCTGCTATGTGGACCACACATTTGGGATAGCAGTGAAGTATTGAGTGGTTTGATGCAAAAGGAACACACAAGTTTATGAAGTAACTTGAATACTGAAGGCTGTAATTTTTGTGAACTGCATAATGACAGATCTGCTGTTAATAAAGTGGTGCAAATCCTCAGATGAAAAAAAAACAGCAATAAAGGAGGATATTGTTGCACTTTTGTTCTTTCTTTTTATATATTCTGTAGCATCTCTAATTTAAATGTTAGGTGTAATATAACACCAGCTCGATGTTAATGGAAAAAACATGTGATATAGTTTAGTAAGTACGGAGACATAACTATCAGGAGCTATGGCTACACAATTTTGATTTCATAAAATTTATTAACACAACTTGAATGATCTCAGAATAACCCTTCTAGACTTTTCTGGTGAATGTATTCTGTAGCATCTCTAATTTAAATGTTAGGTGTAATATAACACCAGCTCGATGTTAATGGAAAAAACATGTGATATAGTTTAGTAAGTACGGAGACATAACTATCAGGAGCTATGGCTACACAATTTTGATTTCATAAAATTTATTAACACAACTTGAATGATCTCAGAATAACCCTTCTAGACTTTTCTGGTGAATGTATTCTCACCAAAATATTTTTTTTTTTTTTTTTCCCCTGTCTTGCCTTCTAGGAAATGACAAGCTGTATTAAACCTTCCTTGGATGGCAATAGTCATACCCAAGAGCTGAAGCAATGGAGAATCTAAGAGTGATACATCTATTGCATGGCTCGTTGTCCTTCTCTAGTTTATTTCTACAGGCCATTGTCAAAGCTTCTCACTTCTGTCTGGTCAAGTCAGAAATCTTTTAGCTTCAGAAACTTAAGGCATGCTGGAAGAAACTCTGTTACCACCAGAGTAGTCTTCCACTGGCTCCGCTGGTGCTGTGCTGGCATTGTTAAATTTCAGAGGATTCATCTGGGAAGCAGAAAGCAGTGCTTTTCTTGGTTTTGTGTTGCGTGGTGTAATTGGAGACTGCTGTTTCTATCTGTGACATCCATGTTTTCTGTAACAAGAAAAAATAATTTGTAAACCAACACAATCTTAAGAAGTTCCAGTAATTCAGATACATAAACAGTCAGAGCCTTTAGTTTTATTTAGCCTTTTTTCAGGCCCATGCTCAGAATTCCTGAAGTGAATGTGAAATATCCCAGAACAGAGAATCTCCCAGTTGCTGAGGCCACTGCCTGCTGCTGGAGGCTGTGTATGAGCCATGGGATATCTGGGGAAGGTTTCATTTTTGTTTGGAAGGTAGGATTTTAAGGCTCTGTTTGCTTGTAATGATGAAGTTTGCTGTAGGATATTTCACCCATTTTTGTGTAGCATTTGTTAGTTTAATGCTGTCCTTGCAGTTCGACCTCCCCGTTCTCTGAATAAGATAGCCCCAGTGTTACCAGCATCACAGGTTCTGTTCCCTTCTGAGATATGTGCTGCCACAGGAACTTCAGTTGCTAGCATTATGCTGACAGCATTCAGCTCTTTATTTGCTGTCATCCAGGTATGAGGGCAGGGGGTGATGGCTGGAAAGATGAATTTAAAATACATAACTTTCTTCTCTTTGTGCTAGTCCAGATGGTCTGGGTCGTAGAAGCTGCGTTGTCTCTGAATTGCTGTGATAAGACATTACAAATTAGTTGTCAGCAGTATGAGCTCGAGGACTAGCTGTGCTTCTCCCACCCAAAGGTTTTTATTTTGCCTAGTCAGGAGCTGCTGTCTGTGCTGTAATGCATGTAGAGACACCGTGCTTTGAGGCAAAGAGTAGAAACTCGTGAGAAGGGGCAGCCTGCTCTGCTTCATGTGACACTAGGGTTCATAAATTTTGTTATTCATCCCTCTGGCTGTTTCCTGTGTGTGTTTACACCCTGAACGAGTTAAAAATCACTTTGAAAAGTAGAAAGCTTAAGAAGTAAATTGGGTGATCTACAGCTCTAAGGAGCCCCAGCGAAGCAGGTGAGGAGAGTCTGTGTGTGCAAGCCGTCCATGCCTGGCAGAGCTTGATGTCGTCGGGATGGGGTGGTTGCTCTGGGCTCTCTGTTGCTGCTGGTGGAGCACGCAGGGGTTTGCTAGGTGATAGTCAACACGTAGAAGGCAGGATTTAAACTGTTGAGCTTTTTCGTGCCTCAGGGAAGAGAATAGAGGGCAGGACAGAGGTGTGGGTGGGATGAGCAACAGCAGAGTATTTCAGGTCTGTGTTTCCATGTGTCTGCTGAGTTATGGGGTCTTAAGAGAGAGGTGGGAGTGGGATAAGGGGTTCGTAGCATCTGTGTTCACTGCGTTGCACGTGATCCCTGCGCAGTCAGTAGAGCGCAGTGTGGCAGCGAGAGGCGAGCGGGCAGGGCGAGCTGGGGCAGGGCGAGGGAGTCAGGAGCCAAGACAGGCGCTTCACAAAAATCGGGAGATCAAAGAGGCAGCTTGCAATGTAACAGCCTGCTGTTTGGGATGAGTTGACAGGAATATGACACGTACAGCTTCATTCAGTTTGCAGTCTCGCCTTTGATATCGTTTAGCTAGCTCGAGGCCCTGATCTGATGGTCCTCACTGGTATCTATCTTACCAAGATCATCTTCAATTCTGCTTTGTTAGAGTCACATCAGATAAAACCCCATGAATTCGCCTTGGTTAGCAAAGTTTCTTTAAAATATATATTGATCATGCTGAGATCGGGCTTCTTGGGAGCTGAAATAAGGTGGTTCATTTCATTTGACTGGTGCTGGAAACTCTACCTTTCCTAGGGCTCAGAGTGCCCAAAGTCAACACAATGTGTAGTGCCACTACATCCAAGTGGAAAGAACCTTTCACTGCATAGTTTTTTGCTTTGATAAACAGGATTTGGGAGACATTGAGAAGATGGTAGGGTGTGAAGGCAGCTTTGGAAGGGAAAGATAGTATTTTTGTAACAGGAGAAGGTAATGATTTCTTGGGTAGGTACCTATAGTAGTAGTAATGGTACCTATTCCAAGCACCAACCAGTGACTTGGAAAGAATTCACTCATTGTTTTTCTCTGAAAAAGTTGATCTACTGCAATTAGTATTAGTGCTAGTCGAATTTCTATGCATTAGGTATGAGAGAATGCAATTCTACTTACAGGAGAAAAAAAATTACTTCTGTGAAGCGCTGACCACACTTTCAGATGTTATATACAGTGCTGTTACTAGAAATGTGATGTGTGAAAATGAGGGGTAAATTTATGTAACAGTGGAATTAATCATACCATCTGTTCAATCTGAAATTGCAAGATGTGTGTCGTGCATAGATGAGCATGATACAGTTTTCTGATCAGAGTACTACTGCATACAAGTTGGGGGGAGTTGTTTTGGTGTTGACTTCTCTGGAGAGGCTGACTCTCTTCATTTCTGTGACACAAGAAATGACTTTTACAATTTCTACTAGGAAAAAAGAAATGTTTTTCAACAAGAATACGACTGGCTATCAACCCTGCTATAAAATTGGTACGTGTTCAACAGCAAAAAATCTGTCACAAATGCGTGAGCCAGAGCACTGTGGTGTTATTTTGTTTTGGTTTGGCTTTGGTCAAATGTCACAACTGTAGTAGATTCTTAGCACAGTACAGCTACTTTTAGGCTGAGATCCTCCTTTAGGGAAAGCTAAGTTGTGTAATTACAGAAGAAAAAAAGGTGTGCTACTTATCTTGGCAGTCTCTGTCTGAGCTTGTGGTAAGAAGACTGCTATGCACTGACAATACCTATTTTCATGCTGTATTAGGAAAGTGTTTTGCAAGCTGAAGCCTGTGGAAAAAATATGGAGAAATTATATAAATTCCCTCCTGCAACTGTCAGTCCAATTTTATATCTTATTGTATGATTATGTAAATTAAGAAGAAATTATATGTGTAATCATCTTTTTCTTATTAGGGCAATGCGCCCTGTTATGGTCAGGTTTTTGTTGTGCAGGAAGCTTTTCTTAATTCTGCTTTCATTTGTTTAGTTACTTTATCCAGTGGATCACCACAAAGGTAATGATGGCTGGAGCAGCTCCTACACAAAGGAGGGGCTGAGAGAGTTGGGGTTGTTCAGCCTGGAGAAGAGGAGGCTCCAAGGAGACCTTATAGCGTCCTTCCAGGACTACAGGAAAGCTGGGGAGGGACTGCTTACAAGGGTGTGTAGGGATAGGGCAAGGGTCAATGGTTTTAAAGTGGAGCAGGGTTAGACTCTAGGAGGAAGTTCTTTACTATGAGGCTGGTGAAACACTGGAACAGGTTGCCCAGGGAAGTTGTGGGTGCCTCATCCTCGAGAATGTTCAAGGCAAGGCTGAGCAACCTGATCTGCTGAAATCTGATCTGCCCATGACAAGGGGGTTGGATCTAGATGATCTTTAAGGTCCCCTCTGACTCAAACCATTCTATGATTGATCACTGTGCAGCTAAGGTGCTTTTGAGTCTTCAAGAGAAGTTTTCATTCAAAGCAGACTAAATCAGAACTGAAGTTAGAGAAAAACAAATGCCAAAATTTAAGAGAAAGGCACCACTTTAATTGTATTTGAAACAGATCCATATGATGGCTGCTACGTAGGCAAGTGGCTGCACGTGGGCTGATGGTGGGTTTGGGTTCTACCTCGGGCATGTGCCTCTGGTTGGCTGCTGGAAGCAATGTCTTGCAGTGCCAGGCGTGTTGCCAGCAGCCCTTTGGTTCCTGCCATACTTATGCAGAAATTAATTGGTGACTCTGGGTCCAACAGAAGCTTCTCCTGGGTCCTGCAGATGACTTTGGGCCTTATGGGACAGGTTTCCCTGCAAGGTGACAAACCGGCACCAGCGTCTCATGTCCAGAGCGAAGGGGTGGCTTAAGTCTGCCACAAGCAAGCTTGGGGGAAAAGAAGGGGAAAGCATCTTAAGGTAGACAAAATCCTGCAGCAGACGACAGCTGTGTTTGTTGTGGCAGAGAGAGGAGAGCACAGTAACCTGTTAAAATGCACCATATTCACGTGGTGTTGCTTTTTTTAGCTGGAGTTGATGTTGCTGTAAATGAAGGAACAGGGAGCCGGGTGTGGGATTGCCTCCCTGTGAGGGGTGGCCCTGAGCGGAGCCCAGCTCCTGAACCCCTGCACTCCAGAGGAGAGCGTGGATCTCAAGTGGCCAAGACAAGGCAGTTTTTTTCTAACCTGATCTGGTTAATATATTTTCTTCTGCAGTCTTATACTATGTAGAATGTCTTGCTGCTATGTAAAGCTCTGTGTCCAAGCATTTCCAAGTGCTCTATGTCAGACCTCAGAATATTTCTGGAAGAAAAGCTGTTCTATAAACCTAGTTTCAGAGAAAAGGAAAGTGGATCACAGACTGGTGAAATTACTGTGGCAAATTGCTTAGCAGCAGAATGCTGTAGCAGCAGAGGTGGTATGTTTCAGAACTGCTGCCTTCTGGCTGTTGGTGGTGAATGGGAAATACAACTCCGCAGTCCTAAAAATGATTTTTCTGGGCAATGCTCAGCATCAGGTTGTCAGTAATGTTTTCAAAAAGAAATTCTGCAGCTGCATAAATTACCAGTCTTTGATACAGCAATGTACCAGTGGATCTGGTTCTTCCAAATTTAGTGTAAAGCATTATTATAGAGCAATAATAAGCAATTTCAGGATTAAATCCAGATCAGAATGTTAACAGGAAAGCAGGTTCCTAGTCAGAAAGTGTTTCAGAGATGAATTCATACTCTTTCACTTAAGTGCAAAGTTACATCTTGTGTACCAAATCCTGGTATTCGCAGATAGTCCTACCCTTAGGGCATCTTCCCAGTGTTATGAGCATGCTAATTATCAAGGGTATTTCGACTATATTGTGATACTAATTTTTGTTTCTAGTCCTTGTATTGAGGTATGTTTCTTTCCAAAGTGAGATCAACTCTCAGCAAACTAATGGATGCAAAAGTATTTATTAGATCAAAAATCAGGGTTTCATTTTTGATTAATGTGATGGATCACTACAAGTCACATGCTGCCCTTTCTGAGAACATGCTGACTAATTTCTTGCTGCCACAAAGCAGTAAAACTCTTCCTAAGACTGAAAAACTAACTGGCAGCATTTCCCGAGGTCACACACTTCTGACAATATTTATATTGCTTTTTTTTGCCCCTCTCCTGCAAAGGACTTTTTCCATTGACACATTGCTTGTTTTACGCGAAATGCTGGAAATCTGAACTGCAAGATCCCTATAGCACTTTTTTTCTCACCATTTTTAACAGGAGCTTCCAAGGTATTACAAGACTATAGGTAAGCAATCTTGTAGTGGTATTGCTGTGGGAGTCTGCTATAGACCTCCCAGCCAGAGCAGTGAGGTGGACAAAGCGGTCTATAAGCACTTGGGAGAAATCTCGAGGTCGCTTGCTGTTCTTGTGGGGGACTTCAATTTCCCAGGTATCTGTGGAAATACAATGCAGGAGAGAAGGAACAACCCAGGAGGTTCCTGGAATGTGTGGAGGATACCTTCCTCACGCAGCTGGTAAGTGAACTGACCAGGGAAGGCGCCCTGCTGGACCTCCTGTTTGTGAACAGAGAAGGTCTTGTGGAGGATGTGGCAGTTGGAGGCCATCTAGGGAACAGTGACCATGAAATGATTAAGTTCTCTATTCTTACAGATGTTAGGAGGAGGGACAGCAAAACTGCCACTTTGGACTTCTGAAGGGTGGACTTTGACTTATATAGGAGGTTACTTGTTAGAATCTTTTGGGAGTCAGTTTTGAAGGGTATAGGAGTCCAGTAAGGCTGGACGCTTTTTAAGAAGGAAGTCTTAAAGACACAGGAGCAGGCCATCCCTGTGTGCTGTAAGATGAGCTGTCAGCAAAGAAGACCAGCCTGGCTGAATAGGGAGATTTGGCTGAAAATTAGAGAAAAAAGGAGAGTTTATGGCCTCTGGAAAAGGGGGCAGGCCACTCATAGTGAGTACAAGAATGTTACTAGGTTATGCAGGGAGATAATTAGAAGGTCCAAAGCCCACCTAGAAATTAATCTGGCTTTGGAGATAAAGAATAACATAACAAGTTTCTATAAATACATCAACAACAAGAGAAAGACCAGGGAGAGTCTCCATCCCCTGCTATACTCAGGAGGAAATATGGTAACCAAAGATGAGGATAAGGCTGAAGTGCTTAATGTCTTCTTTGCCTCAGTCCATAGTGATAAAAACACTTGTATGGAGAGAAGCCAGCCCCCCAAGCCAAGAGACAGAGTCCGAGAGCAAAATGTCCTCCCCATAATCCAGGAGGTGATAGTAAGAGACCTGCTGCTCCACATCGATGTGCTCAAATCTATGGGGATGGATGGGATTCATCTGAGAGTGCTGAGAGAACTGGCAGAGGCGCTCACCAAGCCGCTGTCCATCATTTATCAGCAGTTCTGGCTGACTGGGGATGTCCCAGCTGATTGGAACACAGCCAATATAATACCCATCTATAAGAAGGGCCAGAAGGATGATCTGGAAAATTACAGGCCTGTCAGTTTGACTTCAGTGCCAAGGAAGCTGATGGAGCAGATCATCCTGAGTTCCATTATGCAGCACATGCAGGACAATGTGGTCAGGCCCAGTGAGCATGGGTTTGTGAAGGGCAGATCGCGTTTAACAAACCTGATCTCCTTCTATGACAGGGTGATCCACTTGTTGGATGAAGGAAAGGCTGCGGATGTTGTCTACCTTGACTTTAGTAAGTTGCTTGACACTGTTGCCCACACCATTCTCCTAGAGAAATTGACTGCTCTTGGCTTGGATGGGCGTATGCTTTGCTTGGTGAAAAACTGTTTAGAGGGCTGAGTCCAAAGAGTTGTGGTCAATGGAGTTGGTCACAAGTGGTGTCCTCCAGACCTCAGTACTGAGGCCACTCCTATTTAACATTTTCATCAGTGATTTGGATGAGGGGATGGAGGGCACCCTTCGTAAGTTTGCAGATGACATGAAGCTGGGTGGAAGTGTCGATCTACTTGAGGGTAGGGACACTATTCCTGATAAAGGCCAGGATGCCTTCAAACCTTCTTGGCCACCTGGGTGCACTGCTGGCTCATGTTCAGCTGGCCATCTATTAACACTCCTAGGTCCTTTTCTGCCAGGCAACTTTCCAGCCTCTCTTCCCCAAGCCTGTAGCACTGCCTGGGGTTGTTGTGACCGAAGTGCAAGACCTGGCACTTGGCCTTTTTAAACCTCATACAATTGGCCTTGGCCCATAGATCCAGCCTGTCCAGGTCCCTCTGCAGAGCCTCCCTGCCCTTGAGCAGATCAACACTCCCATTCAATTTGGTATCATCTGCAAGCTTACTGAGGATGTACTTGATCCTCTCATCCAGATCATTGATAAAGGTATTTAATAAGACTGGCCCCAAAACTGGGCCCTAGGAGATTCTGCTTGTAGCTGGCTGCCAAAAGGATTTAACTCCATTCACCACAACTCCTTGGGCACAGCCATCCAGATAGTTTAGCACAGCAAAGAGTGCACCTGCCTAAGCCATGAGCAGCCAGTTTGTCTAGCAGAACGTTGTCGGAAAGTGTCAAAGGCTTTACTAAAGTCCAGGTGGACAACATCCACAGCCACATCCACTAAGCAGGTTACCTGGTCATAGAAGGAAATCAGGTTGGTTAAGCAGAACCTGCCTTTCACTAAGCCATGCTGGCTGGGCCTGATCCCCTGGTTGCTCTGCACGTGGCGTGAGTGTGCTGGAGATGAATTGCTGCATAGTCTTCCCCACAGGCTGACAGGCCTGTAGTTCCTCAGATCAAACCTCCTGTTTAGAAACCTCTGAATGTAGGAAACACTGGCTTGAAAAAAATAATCAAAAAATCTTATTCCTATCTTCATTATGGCTATTATGCCAAACCTTCTATGTGCAAACTGGAGCGTGGCAACTTCCTGTTCAGCACCCAGAAGCTCTTGACCTTGTGTCTAGCCTGGGCTCAGGCAGGAACGTGGGGCTGCCCTTCCCTCTACCCTTCAGCTGCTGCATTTGCTTCATTTCTGCTGGGTTGGTAGGGAGACTCCTTCAGCAAACACAGTGCCTGGAGCATGTTATAAAAAGGTTGTTCTTCTCTGTGTTCTTCCCATTACTTCATCTTCAATCATTTGCCTTTTATTGGCTACCTCTATTTCCTAGCAGCATTGATGCTTGTCAAGGGTCAAGAAAGCAGTAGTGGTAGTAACTGTAAATACCAAGCACCATCACTTCTAGTAGCAGACACTGTCTGCAAAAACCTGCTGCTAACTTTAGAAAGTGCAGCCTCTTAGAACAGACTGAGCTGAAGAGTAAAATGCCTGAACAGAATTGGTTGTTTAATTTAAACCAGGACAATGCTGAATGCTCATTGCTCTGGGTGAATATATTTCAAAGTTATAAATTTTACAGGCTCTAGGTTTATTTTCCATATCAATTGATTTCCTACAGAGCACTCTAGCTCCCTGAGGTTTTCCTCCCAGGGTTTAGGATTAGGATGGCTGACAGGCCCTGGAGCACAGAGATTTGTGTTTCTCTTATTTCTCTTTGATATAGGAGGCTCCTGGGATCTGAGCAGTGTTAGACTGAGGTGTGTGAGAGCCTGCATGAGTGGCTCCAATGAAGAGGGGGCCTGATTATTTTTTTTGTGCCTGCTCCTTCACCCAAGCTTTGATGTGGTAACTCCAGGAACATTGGTTTAGCAGAGTAAGGCTGTTTACTCTCTGCAGAGGTCAGTTCTCCTCCCTTCTTCACTCAAGGACACAGCAGCGGGTGTTGCTGGAGTAATTTCCCCTGGTGATGCATTTGGATGTCGGTGAGCAGGGAAGTATTGAGGTATAATGGGTTATTTCCAGTCTCTCAGCTGGTGAAGAGGTGAGTGGGAGCAACAGCAGGACGTCAATCTCTCCAGCCTCCTGGAGAATCACTGCTGCTCACGTGTGGGGACACTACAGAACTGAAAATGTATTTGGGAAAGAGGCTTGAAGATTGACAGAGCATATTAGGACAATTAAGGAAAGGAAGTACTTGGTCTGTGAGAAAGAAGTCACTGGAGTCCTGATACCTCCTTGGCGTGAGTGGATAGTATCTGACAGTTGCTGGTGTGTATATGAAAGTCCTTTATAGAGGCAGGGGGACATGGAGTGTAATGTCTGTGTTAGCAGGTTATGCCTCACAGTAAGAGCAGAACTGTGAAGCCAAACAGCGCTGAGGCATCGGTGTTTGCACTCCAGGCATCTGGGGCTGGTTTGTGGGCAAACAGCATCTTCTCCTGACACTGCCATGCATACAGTGCGTTGAGATGGTATTTATGAAGATGTTCAAATGTGTGTGGGCACGCACCTGTAATATGGACAGAGTCAACGTTTTTCAGGATCAGTCTGTCTAGTAAAATGGGCTGGTCTAGGACTGTGCAAAACCCATCTTCTCTTATGAAGGACTGTAGCTCAGAGTGAGGGAACAACAGACAGGGGTTAACTGGCGCCTGAGCCCTTGTATTTCTGGGAATAGAAGATAATGTTGGTTAGCTGGTTGTTTGCCATCTGCTCATGAAGTATAGGCACTAAAGAGCCATAAACTGTGTTTTCTTTTATCAGAAGTACTCAGATAGCTTATTTGCCTGAGAAACTGCAGAAAAACTCTTTAGTACCTGGAATTCTGCAAGGTTACACCTTGTACGATAAAACATACAATAGAAACACAATACAAGTCCACAGGCAGAAAACAGTTAGTCTAAGGTGTTCCAATGTATTGTTTTTGCCCTTTTCCCCTGCCCTTCCCCCCTTCTTTTAATAGCAGGACTTCTCTCATCCTTGGCAGTATGTTTCCCTATCTCCCTTTGCATACTTGCAGAGCATGTAATAGCTGGGGCTCCAGATGCATTGCAGCCCCTCACAGTAGGTTCACCAACATGTGTGTAGGAAAAACCTCAGAGCTGCCTATGGGAACCAGGCCCCTTGAATTCCTGCTCCCTCCATTTCCCTGCCCTGGCCTGTGCTGTAGGATGGTGTTGCTGTTCTACCAGCTCTCAATGCATGCCTTCTCTATCTCCTACAAAGGCAGAATAGGTGCTTCTTAGAAAAAAAAAAAAGTCTTTTAATGAGATGCAAGCTTCTTGAGATTTAACACAAGTCTGCTTAGCCTTAATATTTGTCATCTTCATAGCCTAAATTTGCATCATCTTTATAAGCTTAATTGGCTAGAAATGCTCCTACACTGAAGGGTTAAGAATTTCAAGTCATTGAGTGGTTGGTGTTTTTTGTGGCTAATTACAAATATTTATCATCTATACAACTCTCTTATAGCATCTTTCATGAATAGAAACTTCATAAGAAGAGTCATTATATCTCCATTTTAAACTAGGAGAAATCAAGGCAAAGCGAAGACACATACAACAAGCTGTTTTGGAGCTGATGATAAAGCCAACCTTCCATCTATTTTAGCATTTTCCTGTTTTCTTCCTGGTGTTTTTTTTTTCCTTCTTCTTTCCAACAGCTCTGATATCTCTGGGATAAAAATGTTTTAGGCTGCTGAATCAAATCATGAGGAGAGATTAGAAAACTTTATGCATTCTTGAAACTTTTCTGAGCGTTAGGAATCCGGCACATCAGAATGACACCAGGAAGATATTAAGGTCTTATAATGTAAATTCTGCCTCTCAGTAGTATTTCTGTAACATGCTGAGCCTAGAGGCAACGTTTTGAATTAGTGTTATGGTTTGCTGTTAGTACGAGAAAGTATCACCCATCCTTCATGCTGATTAGTCATCTTGCATTTTTATCATTAGATCAATCTTCCAAAGTATTGGAGATTGTACATTCAAAATATTTACCAAGCTGAAAAACCCCAACGTAACAACTGCAACCATGTATAACTCTATCCATTGTTACCTTTTTGTTGCACTTAATTTTGGTAATTATTAAGAAGTCATCAAATAGGAAGAGGTAGATGTCAATGAGTCTTGTGGTTTCTAAGGAGGAAAAAAACAAAACAAAGCAATTCGGTCTGATTATTTTAAGGAATTGCTACTTCCAAGATTAGGCACATCTATGAATCACTGCATCTTACAAAATGTTTTTAACAAAGAAGCATAGTTTCCAACATAGTACACAACTACTCATCCCCTAGTCTGCACTCTCAAATGCAGAAAAAGTCATGTCTCTTGATGATTTTGGCTACTTGTACCCTGTAGCAGCTAACTCATTATGAAAATACAACTACTTGCCCATCAGGAAAAGTGACCTGGATCACCTGGAGTACTTACAAATACAACAATCAGTATGCTGTAAAATAACAAATTCTGTCGGGTAAACAGTGAACCTTCTGAAAGTGGCAGCAATAAAAAAATAAGGAAGTGCCATCTTTTCATGGTACCATTAAATACTGGTATGCTTCCCTCCTCACAGGCTTTTGCAGCAATGAAATGTTAATAAATACTGTCACAAAAGCCTTTCAAAGACTACACAAAATAGTGTTGGCTTATCTTGTCTTCCTAGCTTAGAGGTTATGGGGACATGAGGAATATAACAACAAATGTCTGTGAGAATGCTTCAAAGCCTTTCAGGCTGATCTCCCAGACATGTTGAAAACTCATGTGTTATTATAATAAATAATAGGGAACAACTGAACAAAAGCAAGAGTAATTTTTCAGGAAACTTACTCTAGGAAGTTCCTGGACTCTACTGGATTTGAAGAGTTTGGTCTTTTGACTTCTTCCCTATTTATGGCTCCTTCTATCCCTTTCCATGAATCTCTCTTTCATTTCTCATTTTGGTCCCAACTTACTGTACTATTTCACTTCCAGAATCACCTCCTTTCTCTGCTGCTTTATCCTTCATAATCTGTCTCCTGGCTACTCTGTACCAATAGGGGATTTCTGGGTGTGAAAAGCAGGTATGAAATGCTCAGCTACTCACCACAGCAAATTGAGTTTGTCAGGGCTATTCCTTCCATGGAGTCTTGCAAGATCCTAAAATACTTTCTCGGATGTTTGATTCTGAAAGGTTTGGCTTGAAAACTTATTGTCTCATTAATGTTGCACAAAACAACATCAGTAACTACTGAAAATTAAAATTCTAAATAGGTCATGGAGCTAGCTGCACAGGGAGTAAAGAAACTACCACAGAATCTTAGAATCATAGAGTACTTTGGGTTGGAAGGGACCTTTAAAGGTCATCTAGTCCAACTCCCCTGCAGTAAGCATGAGGACCTTCCTGTGTGTCACTGGAGAATCAGAAGACTACACACAATCACCTTAATCCATATTAGACATTTTTATAAAAACTAATATTCTGTAAGTTTCTGTGAAGTCAAGAACTTCATAAAGGGTTCTTCATAGCATCTTTTGTACAGCAGTAGGTTTTTGTGAGTGTTACACAGCGAAGAATTATTTCTTGTAGACTGTCTACTGCTGTTGACACACTTTTCTGTTTCTTTGATTTATACTGTGTTCGCAGAGTTGTTGAAGGTTGTCAGTTGGAAGGAACCTCTGGAGGTCTCTGGTCCAACCTACTGCTCCAAGCGGACCAAGCTAGAGCTGGTTGTTGAGTCAAGTTTTGAATATGTCCAAGAAAGTAGTCTCTGCAACCCGTCTGGTCCCCTGTACCAATATTTGACCCCTCTTATTACTAACAAGCATTTCCAAATATCTAATGGGGGGAATGCCCTGTGCTGCAACTTGTGTTGCTACATCTTGTCCTTTCTCTGTGCAACTCTGAGATGTCTTAACTCCATCTGCCTTAAACCAGCCATTAATCAGTTGAAGACAACAGTAGTGTCTTCCTTGAGCCTTCTCTTCCTACATCTGAACAAATCCACTTCTCTCAGCTGCTTCTGTTCGCAGTTACAGGATTACAAAAAACCCCATGCATCTGTGGTCTCAGTGATTTCAGTTTCATTTAAACAGGCACAGTTCTCCTTAACATCAAATTCACCTGAGTCTGTTCAGAATGGTGACTTTAGGAGATGCTTCCTTCTGTTGTGCAGTGTTATATATGACTTGTGACTTCATTTTTGTCTTGAACGGTATTCCATTCAGACAGGTGGCCAAATGCCAGGCACTTTTATATTGCATACTGCAGGGACCTGGTTGTCTTGGTGGGTGAGAGAGATGCTCGTATTTCCTTCTCCATTTTCTAATTGCTTATTGAAGAAAGAAATGTGGACACCTGAAGGCCACCCTTACCTCCTGCATGATGTCTCATCAAGAGAGTGGTGAGCACAGAGGGAAGCATTGGGAGGGGGCGACTCGGTGGCTTGCTTTCTCCTTGGCCTGCCACCCCCTGAGCATCACCATCAACCTGTTCTTCTGCTCTCCATCTTCCTGATGTTGTGCCTTCTCCTCTGCTACTAGAATTCTCCTCACATGGGAAGGAAAAGAAAAACACTGAAAAATGGACTGTGTCCTTTTTGCTGCTGCCTTTATAACAGTAATAAAGGTGCTGGAAGACAGAAAGTGTGTGCTAGTTCTCTTCACCTCTGCCTCTGAGGAGCTGGTGAAGATGTAAGGCATGGTCTTTGCTCATTTCTGTCAAACCATTGCCACAGCCCTGCAGGCACCAGGGCACACAGCTTCCAGCGTCCTTTGAGACGCTGGTCTTCTCCAGGCTTGGCTTCCTAGTCATGTGCAGAGGAAGTAATTTGCTGCTGCACAGGTAGAGATTCTGCAGCAGCTCCCCAGCAAACAACCTGTGCCCTGCTATGAAATGGTGCCTGTGTGTCTGGAGACATGCTCTGCCAGTGTGATAGATGGCTGCAAACAGTGTTGTAGAAACCAGTATGCTCTTGTGGGACTACCTGTTGAGTTAATGGCATGTTGCATGGGAGCTCTGTTCATAAAAGGGAAGCCACCCACTGTGGTTAATACCAGGTACCCATCAGAATAGCAATCTTAGCAGAGATGAAGCATGAAATAAAAAAAAAAAAAAAAGGAAAAACCTCTGGCTTTTACACTACTTGTCAATGAAATGCATGGCAAATACGGTGCCGGTGAGGTGTATTGGCGTTGGTCTGCAGGCATTAGGGATACCTTGTATAGGATAATCTAAGCTTTCTGCTTTTCTATTACCACATTCTTGAGTGTGACAGCAAAACACTCCCTTTGAATGGCAGGTATTGTCTAACTAAGCTGGTTTCTTCAGTATCCGGCAGACTGGATATCCAGATGTGGCAATAAACACTCATGCAGATTTCTCATCCTTGTGGCAGTTTGGCTGTTTCTCAATCTCTGTCTGACAAGCTGTACATTTGTTTTTTCTTTCCCGTACCTGCCCAAATGTTGTTGCAGAGGTTCATTCTGGAACTGCCGTAACAAAATCTGTTAAGCTAACTCCTGGTACCTGGACATCTAGGGATGTTACCTGCTAGTGTTAGCCTCCCTTCATGAAGGAGAAGTCTGTTAGCTGAAGGCAAAATGTTTTCACTGCTGTTTTCTCTTAAGCTTTACTTCAAACACTTGACTCAAAAAAAAGAGAGAGATACAGACGCAGAATGGGGAATCTTACATATATATCTGATGATGATCTGGGAGGCAACCAGCAGTTAAACAAACTGAGCACATATATGCTCTTATCTCAGGCTTAATAAATCACACAACTAATAACTGAGCATGGCTGTGTTTCTTCAGCAGTGCTATTGCCTAAATGTGTTTATGCTTTTGAAATGTTAAGCTGGGTTTTTCTTTTCTGGGGTGAGTTTAATGGTTTTTGGAGCCCTGCATGTGAACAGACACAATTGTTGAAGTGAGACCCACTTAACGGTGTTACCATAATGCTGTTTAATGTCTTTCTGTGTGGGTTAGGGGGCAACCACAGCAGAAAGGTACAGATATTCCCAGGTATGCTGTGTAGTTTTTTGTCATGTTATTTAATGTAAATAGAAATTCATTCGGCTCAGCTCGAGCAGTGAAAGAGGCAAATAATTTCTACTTCGTATCCTTGTAAAAAGGGGCTAATACATCTATCCCATTTCATTCTGTCCCCTAAAAGCAAATGTTGGAGAGTCCTACTGGATCGTATGATTGTACTTCTTTGGATGCTGGCTGAGAGCAACCCATGCTCCCATCCAAGGCATGGTGCACAGCCTGTGTGTTTGGCCATAGTGTTTGCAGTGCTCAGGCTGCAGCTGCTCCTGCAGAGCCATCCCCACTAATTAGAATACATGCAACAGCCAATTTTAGACCACGTTGTGAAGATAGATAGGAAACTAAACGTTCCTCCAGGAAAAATGGCCTTTAAAAAACTGCTTACCTCTGGGACAAAGAATCTTGTCACGATCCCAGACCTGAGGCCAAATTATGACCTCTTGCAGCTGCCTAATCTTCTGGAAGTTGTCCAACCACTTGACTTTACCTTCCATATCCCCTCAGATATGTGGAACATCGGTTACTGCCAAGGCTGGCAAAACCAGTTGTGTTTCTAGAAGATGCTAGCTACTAATTTTCTCCAGTGGAAGGCAAAGTGCCTCACATGCGAAGCCCCACATGAAATCTTGGCCTCGTTGTAAAAAGTGCCTAAACTCTTCTTAGGTCAACAGAGCCAGAATTTCAAATCATGCATTCAAACATGCTTAAGTTCACTGCTAAATGAAAATGCTGTGTTTACTAATCTGACTGAGGAACAGGGGGAAATGTATAAAACTCAATTAAACTATAATCTTAAAAGCTTCTTAAAAAAAAATTCCTGCCTTTCTAAACCTTCTTGGGTAGTCAGAGAAAAAATAATTTTCATAATATACAGTCTGGCCAAAAGGCTGTTGAAAATAATGAGAGTTGATTTTGGGGGAAGTGGTGCCAGAAGTAACTGAAGTATTTAACTGGGAGGGTGCACTTCAGAATATGAAAAATGGAGACTAAGTCTTTGTTGATTCAGGGACATTATTGGGAAAACCTTAATGGACCTGCAACATAAATTCCAAGTTTTTTGTGTTGAATGATATTGCAGATAATGGTTTCAGACACACACACGCATATACACCAGAAGAGGAATTCTGGAACTGCAACTTTTCCTTATGTCACTGATTCACTGATCAAAGAATGGAGATCTTTGTCAGATTTCTGTGAATGAAGAGTGGGCACTCTTTGTTTTCCTTGGCCCAGAAGTATCTAAAGTCTGGGAGTGCCTATAGAATCATAGAATCACTGAATGTTCGGGGTTGCAAGGGACCTCTAGAGATCATCTAGTCCAACCCCCCTGCCAGAGCAGGATCCCCTAGGGCAGCCACACAGGAACACGTTCAGGTGGGTTTTGAAAGTCTCCAGAGAAGGAGACTCCACAACCTCTCTGGGCAGCCTGTGCCAGGGCTCTGTCACCCTTACAGTGAAAAAGTTTCTCCTCGTGTTGAGGTGGAACTGCCTATGTTCTAACTTACACTCCTTTCTTTGCCAGTAATATTCCCTAGGTATCCCACAGTCTTTTGGGGTCATACCTAAAACTGCTGTTCTCCCAGAAGAAGTACCCAGAATAGTGACAAAACCATCTTATTTTGCTGTGAGCCCCAGTCTCTGCCAAAAGGTGTGCTCCTTGTGTGGCTATTAGGCTATTCTCATGACGCTTGGAAAGAAGAGAAAGAACTCGTGTCTTTCTTTTTTAGGTGGTAATTCTGTCACTGGAGTATTTACCCAAGATGAAGGAGCCCCGGATTAATCCATCTCTGGAAGACTTTAACTCCCTCTCTGCCTCATCTCCCAAGAAGATATCTGAACCTTCAGCGTCCAGGATGAGGAGAAGGAGGGAGGCAAAAAGGGACTCACCGTGCTGCATGGCTTGAGGTCCTGGTGTGCTGCTGGTGAGGATGAAGCCCTGCTTGACACCTCTCTCTGCCCAGATTGGCCAGAGAAGTGTTTTTCTGATGCACTGTCTTGATTTTGATTTCCATGGGGTCTGCAGGCAGCCTTTGGAGAATAAACCTATTTGTTGATGTACTATATGACCGTAAGACATGCAGAAATACATTTATAGCTGCCTGAAAATGACTGAGTTAATAAATTATTTAGAATTAATAAATTATTTACTTAAAACAAACTACATGGAAGAAAAATAATTCCTGGACCAATTTCTTCTCCCACAATAGACAGACAAAATATGTAGCTGAGATAACTTTTCAGCTACTTTACATGGTAGGACCCTGTCATTTAGTGAAAGGTCACTGACATAATATGCCCCTTGTGAGCACAATTTTATCCTATTAAGGATTAGCCCAAACAAATCCTCCTGAGACAAAAATCCAACTCAAAGGCTTCTTTGTTTGAGGTCTTTCTTGTTTTGTTCCAGTTTCTGATCTGCTCTTAATTGTTTGCATGTCACTGCAGATGATTCTGAGCAAATACAAATGACTCGCTGATCTGGAAGTCCTGTGACCTTGCTCAGAGAGGCTCTGACAGTGCAAGGGTGGCACCAATCATTTCCTACAGAATGACAAAGGGCTCAGGACTGTAGAAAGGCATGCACATCCTCATTGTGTATCTGCAGCAAGACTGGACCCATTCACACTCAAAGGACATGCACAAAAAAGACTACTTACGTGTGGACTTTCCACCTTCTCTTTAAGGGACTGGATAAGGCCTTTCTCTGTTCCGTCAGTGCTCTGCTTCCAGATGTTTTGAAGGAGGAGAGGATAGCACATCTGTCGATGCAGAGAAGCAATGAGCAGCTGTGGCAGGTGCTGCCTCTCGCACTGTTCGTTTTGTTCACACCATAGCTGAAGACCAGGAAAACCTGCCTTAGGCCTCAGCTTGCCCCTGCACCATCAGCTGGCTGTAATGAGACAGAGACTAATTAAAGATGAGCTTCTCACATTGTGAGAGCAAAGGCAGCGTAAAGACTTTCTAAAGAGGAATCTCATCACTCCTCCGGATTTCCTTTTTGCATTATGCTTCCCACCTCAGATGCTGTTGCCATGCTAGCAGATCAAGCAGTGCTCTTAATTATCTGCCATTTTAATTTCATCAGGAAAACCTCAGTTATGTTTGAGGGCCACCTTATGTTTTAGGATCAGCTGCTACTTCTTACTGAGGAACTTCTTCCCAGGCAAGACTGCATGAACTCCTTGTCATAGAGCAAGTGATGTGAAACTCCCAGGCCCTAAAAGCTGCAGAGTTTGGTTGTTACAATGAGGTGTCCTCCCAGTTCTGGGCTGCCTGTGAGAAAACGCCACTTCTTCAGCTTTCTCTTCCCAAGCCTGTAATGTGGAAGATCAATCTTGTGTAGCTGGTCTGCTAATGACAAGTCCAAAAGAGCAGAGCCCTCTCCCTGAAAGCCCCACCACTGCACTGACTGGAGTTGGTGCTTCAGACAGATGCAGCGTCAGCAAAACCAGAACCTGCTCTAGTGCTGTAATTTTACAAATACACCACTTTCCCCTCTTTCCAGTCTTAGAGGGAGGTAAACCCTCTCTTACTGGGAGTGTTTTGATACCAAGTCCCGCATTTGCTTTATCTATGGTTAAGCAAAACCTGTCAGAGGAGCTAGAGTGTTGCCATTGCAAAGCAGTTGCTTACTGCTCTACTCAGGGTGCTCCTTCCTCCCTGTGGGCATGTGGATCAGCGAACACCCGTCAGTCAGAAAAGCAGCCTGGCTTTTTTGCCAGGGGTCAGCCAAAACCTACCCTGCTCTCTCATCACAGGCTCCCAGAACACATGAAAACACTGCCATGCTCCTGGATTTGTTTCCCTTTTTTGGCTTGTATCATATACCTATTTCCTTATGCAGAAGGAAGCCATTGTACGCTTCTCCAGTTTTGAGGTTTGTGTATGTTGGTGCTGATGTGGTAGCACAGAGGCTATGTGCTCAGGGAATGGGAGCCCTGTCATCTGCTAAAGCACATAATACCCTACATGGCGTGCTCCCATCCAACATCTAAACCAAGCTGATGTGCAGGACATGTATCAAAGTAAAATATTTGAGAGAGGTTTTCAAATGTTACTTGTGTTTTTTTCTTTTTTTTTTTTTTTCCCTGTAACCATTTCACGTTGTTAAGGTGGAGGTCACCAAGTTAAGGAACTATGTGCAAAACATATGAACAATAGAGGCTGGTGGTATGTATTGCCTCCCTGCAAAAATGCAGCTGGTTCTTCCCTTTTGTCTTCCCACTGTTGCCTGTTCTAAATTGCAAGTATAGACTTTCACATATGCAGGGGAACATACACTTAGAATGGTGGCTTCATATCTATGATTCCCTTGGCAGTACAAAAAAAACCTGTAAAATCCTGTCTACATACTTTTGCTTCCAACGAATTTCCCTAGTCTGCTATTAAAATCCTGTCATAAGGCAGGAAGGCTGAAGACAACACCACCATCGTCACCACCATCGATTTACTTTCAGGTAGATGCCAAAATCTTCTCTCTGTCTCAGATTTTCTAAGTAGAAGACAGCGGAGGTATAATTAAGGCAATAAATCTGGTGTGTCTGGCAGAGGTCACCCTGGAAAAACTGCAGAAAAAACTTGGAAATTTACCAAGAAAGAAAAATTTCATGACAAAAGGAGGAACAACAGTTTTGTTTTTGTAATGTGCATTTCACCTGAGATTTCCTCGTACCTAGGACATTGGGGAAGAGGGAAAGGGGGCATTAAAAAAAGTCAAGGGCAGGTTAAAAAATAGTAAAACTGGTAAAGTAGTAAAAAATCCCACAGCAGTGCTCAAGCAATGCACGGGAACACAGTTCTAACAGCTCTGCAGAGGTGTGAAATTCGTGTAGAAGCTGAAGATAAAACCCACTACCTATGCAACAGCTTTATGTGGCCTCATATGGCATGCCGCTTTATACCCAAGCGTGTTAGTTCTTGAAAATGTTGAATGCCATCCATGATGAAAGTCATTTTTGTCTGGAGTTTTCTCTGTCTCACACAAATATTATCGATAAGAAGACCTGAAGTCAGAGGTAATGGGGGTAAGAAGCTGAGCCCTAGCCTCCCTTTCTGTTTTGAAAATCCTAGCCCTGAGGTAGGGTCTGGTTTAGTATTTTCCAAGAAGTTTTCTAATGGCCTCAACTGCTAGGACAGGTTCAGGTCCATGAATCAATTTTCTGTCTATGTTAATATTTCCAGCTTTGCAGTCACTGGGAAGCTGTGCAGGAACTAGAGCCCCTGGACACTGCCGTTTGGACAACTGCCCCGTTTAGTGTGCAAACTGCCCCAAAGGCTTGCAGGGTAGTGCTTGGCAGCAGCAAGACCTGTGCCTCTCTCTTGCTTAGTCAAGTTGCAAGAGGTATTTCTGTCCCATTGAGCTCTTAATTAAACACTCAAATATACCTGTAGGTCTAGTCCATGTAGAAAAGGAAGGTTCTATGTGATAAAGTGGAAGGAGGCAGAGAACATTCCAGCAACGGGGCTGGGGGTCTGGTCTCAGTAAAGTATCTTCCACAGATCAAGAAGCTCACCTCTGCCAGCGGCAAAGTCTCCTCAAGGTCTGGGCTACTGTTTTGCAGGAAGGAAAAATCTTGCCATGCTTTGATCTACATACAGAACGCCTTCCCACAACCACCTCAAACATGCTAATGAATAAAAAGAACATCCCACTGACAGGAGGTGCTTGAGGCTGAGAGCCAACTGCCTGTGACAGATAGCTTATCCCTGACTCACTGGATTGCTCTGAAGCACCTGTGTACTGTAGTAAATGGTCTGCTGCAAGGACCTGCTGATGTTAAGCAAGACTACTTCAAATTATGTTACCTTTTTGAGTACGAAGGTGAAATCCATAGGAGAGTCTGACTTGCTGACAAGTTCCTTCACAGTTTGAAAAAAAGTTTTCAGAAAACGGAGACTTATCAAAGTAAGGAGAAAAACCCAAACAATATAGCATCAGTGATCTTCTGAAGCTAAGTTTAAAACAACTTTATTTCTCACTCCTGATCTCTTGAAAGGCTCCAAGCCTAATAGGATGCCTGCAATTATCTGCTGGAATTAGCTTTAGAATTATGCCCAGAATGTTTTTTTTAGTCAGAAGCTAAAACAAATCTGTAGAAATACCACTTACGTCATGATAATGTCATAAAACAAATGACAAAAGCTTTGGAACAAGATTAGTTATTGCATTTAAACTTATTTTAGAACAGCAGCTCTATTTAACATGAATTGACATGAAAAATTACAATGGATGAATGGTGTCTACCAGAAAACATTGATTGTGCATGACAGAGCTGTGACAATTAAAGAAGCCTTCACAGTCATCTGAAGATGATACCATCTTCCATAGTTGGAGTTTGTTTTGTGCTATTGGAGGTGAAGGAAGTTTCTATAAAATGCCATTAAAAGTCACATCATCCCCCTTAGTTAACTTAACATGTTCACACTGTGTTCAAGGATGCATACGCTCAAACGTGAGTGAAAGCCTGCTCCTAAGTCCACACTCGTGTCCTGAACACGCTATTTGCACACAATTACATGTCCAGACTCAGCTTTAGGCCAAATTTTAGGCCAGAAGGGAACATCATCCTCTATGATGCTGCTGCTGTGAACTGCTGTTACAGCTGCACACACTGCTTTGTTTGGTGTAATTAGGGGGTTGGGGTTGCTTATGGGTTGATGCTTGTTCTTTGATTTTAACAGACTTTTTACAGCATCTATTTTTTCATGGATTCAGCCTGCTGTCTAGAAAGAAATGCATGCTGTAAAATGCATGAAGAGAAGGCATAAAAGTTGTTGAGGGCAGATATTTTATTCTATATTTGATCACTATTTTATATACAGGTATGCATAATAGATGATTATTTATCATCCTCATTAATAAGGAAAACAAAATAGAAAATATATCAAATATAATTCTCTCTAGAGATGACCAAACTCCAGCCAAACTCAAAGCTTTTTTTGATTGCTAAATGGCACACAGCAATTTATTCCGCTGCCTTCTTTGAACAGGAATGAAAGAATCAGCAACCACACCTCAGATAAATTGTAGTAACTAGGTTGTATGGTCTTACCTTACAACAAGCACAAGGTGAAACACATCAGCTAAAAATCTGTTTCCTTCTATCTGCAAACCTGCACAGGTGGTTGCTCATGGCAGCTCACCTGGTGTGTGGTCGGCCACTAAGCAGAGGCGACTTGTTCTTGTATGAGAGCTTTAATTGATCCTATTCCAAAGAGCTTTCCTGGTTTTGGTTTGGTTGTTTTTTTTTTATTTATTTGGGCTATAAAAGGAGATGTTAAGGTGAGAGAATTACAATAATGGAATGAGTTCGGAGTAAGCAACTGGTTTAGGCTGTGAGAAGTGATTGTGAGCAGTCCTTCAACTTAAGTAGTTGAAGAGCACCTTCCAAAACTCACTTTGCTATTAAGGGTAAGGTGTTTTGTAAAAGGGCTCTCCAGCCGAGAAAAACGTTTGATTTACTTCTAAAGTTACGTAAAATGTAATTTGGACTTATGGGTTCCTTTAACTTTCAGGAGCTAAAAACAGTCTCCCAGCAAGTGGCCACAAGCAGGAAAGAGCTGGAGCGCGTCATAGCCAAGCCTTTTGGTCTCTATTCTCCTCAAAGCCTGAGGGTAAGTAGCATGAGAACACAGAGCATCCAGCCTGTGTGGGAGATATACTTCCACCCATACTGAGGGAAACCGCAGCTGAAGAGAGGTGGTCATCATTTTGTTTTAACTTGCTCTACCGGAGTAGCATAATAGCAAAGTCCTCATGCCCATCTGTTTGCAAAAGGAAACTTGTTATTGTAGTTGTTTTGCTACTCTTATTGTTTTGCTGTAAGGATTGTGTGGTTGTATTTTTTTCTTCCTAAGTCTTTTTAAAAGGATGGTGCTTATGAGAATTAGCCTCAGACTTGTGTTTACTTCAGAAACGTCTGCCAAATGAACTCTTCCCTGTGTTCAGATGGCTGTTTATCTTTTGCTGGAGGCACACGAAACTAATTTGCCTGGTGAAATTTGACCCCCAGTGATACAGCAAATAGAAATGAAGGAAAGACTAATTATTTGAATTAAGTTTCAAGTGTGAGCATTGAATGTGAATAGAAGGTTTATGGATGGTTTCTCATCTCCTTTTATTGGGCTGGTTGATTTCTGATCTCATTAAGTCTTTTATTTTTCTTACCTTGTTTAACTCTTCTGAGTTTGCAAAAAGTCTCCAGAAATCCACATCCAAGGTATTTTACTCTGGTAATTTACTCTGGTAATTTTACTCTGGTATCTACTCTGGTAATTTTACTCTGGTATTCACTCCAGAGTATATTACTCTGGAGGTATTTTAGAGTGTTCATAAATATCTTTAAAAACATAACAAGTCCATGTTATTTATTATTTGTGCCAATTCAATGTTTTGTTCTGTTTTGTTCTTTTCCTGAAAAGAACATGTTTGCGTTGTAATTCTCATAAAATGATAACTTGATTTGGGGAAGGTAGAAGACAACACTTTTCCTGACTTGCCTAAAGGCTAAATATTGGGCTTTGTGTAAGGAGGAGGGTATGAGTGATGTCTCTGGGATGTCTCTGTGGCTGCCACAGGGGCAGCTGTGTCCCTGCTGTGCTCTCTGGCAGAAGAGGGGCAACTGAGCTCCCTGCAAATCATCATGAGAGAATTAATAACGTTAGAGTCACAGTTACAGATCTCTGTGACTTTTCTCAATTCTTTCCTTCCCACCCCATGCATCTGCTGCTGTTTAAATTGTTTAGAGTTACTATGGGAAAAAACATAAATTATTGGAATAGCATAAGTAGAGGGCCCGTGAAGATTTTTTTCATCTCTTCAGATTGTTTTATTAACCTGTATTGAGTGAAAACTGCCTGTTTTTTATTGATTATTTAAGATTTTGTATTATTTAAGCTCTGATGGTGATCTTGGAGCTGTGCTGAATCTGACCTAAATCTGAAAAAGGCTTAAAAAGCATAGATTACCCAGTAGAATTTTTTTGTATATCTGTGAGAAGCATTAGTGAATCGCCCAGGTACCAAGACTGAAGAACTTGTGGGAGTTTTTGCTTAGCCTTGTGTAATTCTTCAGTTGCCATGAACAGTTGACCTCAGAACTTAAAGGGGATTTATGGTGGTCTTAAAGCTCCCTGTTGAGATTCACTAAAATCAGTGGTTTATTTCTGTACTGGGAAGTACTTAGAGTAGCAGGTATCTGTAAAACTGGCTACCCAAATTCAGTGGTTCTTTCTCTGGCAGGAGAATTTGTGAACATGAACTGAATAGTATGTATCAATAGTATGTATGGGTTGCACAGGGCTCACTAAGGCTTGTCTGTGAGTTCCTGCATCGGACTCACCGAGGGGCCTCTGTGTCTCCTGTTATCTTCATCCTTCCCAGGATTCACCTGGGTTTAGTCTTCTCAGATGTCTGAACAAAATGCATAGAAGGAAGGATGCTCCCATCCTGCCTTGGACTAATAACTGGTCCTGTCACCCTCTTTCCTCTTCCTTCCTGTTCTGCCCCACCAAGATGGAAATCAGCCCACTCCTCTATTTATACCTTTTACTTTGCCGTAATTATTGTAGTGTATGGGCTATCTTTTCAGCAACATGGAAAATGCTTCACTAATCTTTTTCCTTTGACTAACAAAACCCTGAAATTTTCTGTACAGAATAAGAGAAAATGACAGAAAGACATCTAGTGAAGCTCCCATCCCTTTAAATAGATACCCTAGTTTTTGATGTGTGACAAATGTAAATAGTGCAGCTATGTTTGTATATTCTTGTCCGTATTTCAAAGCTCTTAAAATTCACCATAAAGGAGGCAATTTGGAGTTTTGGGGTGAGGTATTGTTTCTTAGTTTGCTTGTTTTCTTGTAGTATTAGAACTATGGGTCTGCTGAATTCTGAGGTTTTCATGCTCTAGTCAGGATAATCTAACCACAGCTGTATATGAAATTAAACAATACAATGTTACAGACTGGTAGTAGAGAAATATCCACTATTGTCAGTTAAAGAGTGGCTTTACTTCAGTGTTAGTGAGAGGAACAGTGGAATATCAGCTGAAATTACTGGAAGGACTGCAATCAGAAGGTGGTCTCCAGAAGAAGAGATGCATCAAGAGTTAAAAAACAAAGGGAACTGTAGAAACAGGATGAGCAGGCAAGATGAGCGAAAAGAATAAGCTAGTAAGTCATTCTCCCATAGACACCCAATGAGAGGTTACAGGTGGCTTTTTCTGCCATACTGACAGCAAGGCAAATTGTATTTCATTATTTTTGAGACATGAAATCTGAAGTTACCATTTTGAGAACCAGGAAATGGTCTAGAAAATAAATGCATTCCCATGTGAAAAGTTCCCACACAGCTACTTTTTTTTCACTTCTAACTGACTGTCAACATTTTTCTACTCAGTCTGCACCTTTATAAATTCATGCCAAGATTTACCCTATTGATTGAAGAAGGAAGAAAACCACTGCCTGTTGCATCAACTGTTTCAGACATTATGAAGAAAAATTATGATCTATCTTTCTGTGTAAAGAGTATTAGTGATTCTTCTTCTGAAAGCTTAAGCACTCCTTTAAGAAGATTAAAAAACCTGACATTTTCCTTCAGAATATTTATAATATAAACACACTGAATGTGAAAGCAACACAGCATGATACTTTCTGTTTGTAGGCTGCTGTATGAAAAACAGTGGGCAGTTTGCAAATGCTAAGAAATTTAATCTGTTGTGCTGCTGCTGGAAACCAAGGATGGATGACAGCTTCCTATTTTCCAGATGGTAAAATCAAATTACCAGAGGACTAGGTCTTCATAGGTACTTGGCTATTTCATCCTGAGGTGGCCACTATCACTTACTGACCTGCCCCAAAGTAAAATGTTCACATACGGTTTAGGTACTGACAGGAATCCCCAACAACCAAGTCTATGTGGAGCTGCATGTAGCAGCCTGCTGTGAGAAGTAAAAGGTTTGCTTTGGAGGGGAGATGGAGTTAGGTGAGGGTTATCTCAGTATTACCCTGGTAGCCAAAGCCTGGTGTTTCTGTGCCTAAGGTGCCCCAGAAGCCAGAAGCTTTGTTTACCTGGCAGACAGGTTTTGGTGGGTTTTCTGCAGTGGAACCTTGGTGTTGGCACTGACCTCTACGTCGCTGCCTCTGAATGCGCCCCTAAGGCAGCAGTGAGGTGGCTGCACCGCACTTGGCATCTCTGTGGTGCTGCAATTTCTTTCTCCAGATCTGCAGATACAGCCTGGAAGGTTGTCTCGATGCCTTTTTCTGAAGGTAGTACCTCACTTATCTAGGGCAGTCTGGAGGCCTGGCAAAATCTGGGTGGCTGTGAAGGCCCTTGCTAACCTTCTATTATGCTCACAGTTTTCCCCCTTACCCCTCCACCTCCAAAACCAAAAATATACCTTGTGATTATACGTTAATTTTGCAGCAGTGTCTCATACCCAGATCAAAGTAGTGAAAAATGCTAACTTGGGAAGAGTGGCTGACACACCAGAAGGCTGTGCAGCCATTCAGAGAGACCTGTACAGGCTAGAGGGCTGGGTGGGGAGAAATCATATGAAATTCAACAAGGGCAAGTGTAGAATTTTGCACCTGGGGAAGAACAACCCCATGTGCCAGTATAGGCTGGGCACTGAACTGCTGGAGAGCAGCGTAGGAGAAAGGGACCTGGGAGTTCTAGTGGACAGCAGGATGACCATGAGCCAGCAATATGCCCTCGTGGCCAAGAAGGCCAATGGCATCCTGGGGTGTGCTAGAAGGGGAGTAGCTAGTAGGCGGAGAGAGGTCCTCCTGCCCCTCTGCTCAGCCCTAGTGAGGCCACATCTGGAATTTTGTGTCCAGTTCTGGGCCCCTCAGCTCAAGAGAGACGGGAACTGCTTGAGAGAGTCCAGCGCAGAGCCACAAAGATGATGAAGGGAGTGGAGCATCTCCCTTATGAGGAAAGGCTGAAGGAGCTGGGTCTCTTTAGCCTGGAGAAGAGGAGCCTGAGGGGTGATCTCATAAATGTTTATAAATATGTCAAGGGCTAGTGTTAGGAGGACAGAGCCAGATTCTTTTCAGTGATGTCCAATGACAGGACAAGGGGCAATGGGTACAAGCTGGAACATAGGAGGTTCCACCAAAATATTAGGAAAAACGTTTTCCCTGTGAGGGTGACAGAGCACTGGCACAGGCTGCCCAGGGAGGTTGTGGAGTCTCCTTCTTTGGAGACATTCAAAACCCGCCTGGATGCATACCTGTGTGATCTACTGTAGGTGATCCTGCTCTGGCAGGGGGGCTGGACTAGATGATCTTTCAAGGGTCCTTCCAACCCCCAACATTCTGTGATTCTGTGAAAGGAACAAAAAATTTTTATCCCCATCTTTAAGTATCCTTGGTACAATGTACTGAGTATTTTAGTACCTTAAAGCAGAAAAAATCATATGTCCTGCAGTCTATAATCTTGGTGGTTGAAAGTTTTCCAGATCAGATGCTTGTTTCTGTTTTTCTTTGACCTGTTGAATGACAAAGAAATACCCCTGATTCATACAATGTTTTAAAGACCATTAAGAAGTTTACCCAGCTCAGTAAACTTTCTCTGATCTGTAAGGATCTTGCCCTTGACTGAGGTATTTCCTTGTATTTCCAGGCTCCCCTTCACAGAGATGAGGCAGTGATGGTAGATTTCTTTGTAGCTGTGTGTGAGGTGTGTAGGTGGCTTAGGTGTGGGTGTGTAAGTTCTTATTTATGTAACACAGAAATCTTTGTCTGGGAAAATCATTGGTATGGCAACACATTGTGAGCTGCCCTCAGAAGTCAAAACAAATAAAGTATTTTGCTTCCTTCAGCACTGCCAGAAGTAGGTGACAACAAACTTATAGCTGAAATCATCCTCCTGCCATAGGTATACAAAGATTGCACATTTGTGTACTATTTTATTTTATTTTTTATTTGAGCTACACATAGAAACAAAATGGTTAGCTGCTGAGTAGTGTCTATAAAATGAGCTTTTAGAAAGCTTAAAGAGCAGGAAGAGTTTGACTGTGAGAGGGATCATGAAATACAAACAATTGCTTTTTGTTTGGCTTTGTTTTTCGGGCCAACAGTGACATGTAAAAGTTTTAACCAATATTTAAGAACTCAAATTTAGTGCTGTGAGCATAGACTTATAAGGTGTTTGCTTAGATTTTTAACTGCTCTCTGGAACAGTAAACTCATACTTCATGGATTTCTATTGTCTGAGCTTTAGGCACTGAACTCAAGCCAATTTTGAAATACGTTTTTAATTATAATATTTGAAATTCAGAGTTCAAGTTCAACTCTCAATTTTGAAAGATGGCTTGAAATGGAGCAGACACAGTAATGCAATTATTAGGCACACACTTAACCAATGCAACAGCAAATAAATAATGATAAATTTAATTTTATGGCACTTAATAGCCTCAGAAATCACTTTTTGTCTAAATATCAAGTGCTTTTTTTTTTGCAAATTTCAAATATTTTGCTGAATTTAAAAGTTCTCAGTTTTAGACCATGCTCCTGCCAATGCTATATAAATGTTATCAAATGAAGTGTGAACTCCTGTACATGCTATACTGAGTACTTGCATTGGTTTCATTTGTGCAAGTTCTTTCTCGATAGTTGAGATTTAGAAGACAAAATGCAAAAAAAAATATTACAAAGGGACTGTTCATGATCATATTTTTAGCTTTACAAAGCTATCAAGACACTTGTAGATGATTTTTTTGAATGATGAACAATGCTCAGAAAGGCCATTTGGATACCGTAATAAGTGAAAATTTTCCTAACTGGAAAAGACAAGGAAATGTGTTAGACAAGGAAATTAACTTAATTTTATTGGTGTCTACGCTTTTATTGGCAAGTGTGAGGCTGCCCATGAGGACAGGATAGGCCTAAAAAACCATCTGAAAAGCTACTTTCATGGGTAAAGCCCAGATCACTTGCACATGAATTGGAGTTAGGCAGATACTCCAGAGCCCTGAGGCACTAAGGTCTAGGTTGGAGCACAGAAAATACAGGATAAACTCCTGTCAAAGCTGTTGACTCAGAGCCTTGTGCTGTCTTACCCCGGGGAGCTGCATTGGACCTGCTGCTGCCCCTGGACACTTTGAATGAGAGCTCCAGCTTTGCTCACCCTTCTCTCCCCTTCTGGTGCCAAGGGCACCTCTTCTTGCACCACCTGTGTGGACAGGGAGTGGTGGTGCTGACAGGGTTTTCATATGCATCACATGCAGTGGCACTGGAGGCTTCTCTGGACCCACCCTACCTTCATCGTAGAGTCATGCCCAAACAATCCCAGAGTAGGCTGAGACCTCCGAGTTATCTGGGGGTAGTAAAGAAATTCTTTTTACCCAGGTTAGTTGTAGGAGAAGGCAAGGTCAGTGTCAAGGGAAAAAAAAAAAATACATGGTGAAATACTCGTGACTTCTCTTTTGGCAAATAGCCACCTTGGTTTTTTGGACTCTAATGGATAAAACAAATGTGTATCAGTAAAGAAACAAATAGCTAAAAATAAAATTGTTATTTATATATTTTTTTAATTATTTTTTTAGGTGAAGCTTGATATATTATACTCTACTTGGCTCAGATTTTATACTTGCGTTTGGACAGTTTGCACACCAGACTTAAAACCCATTAAGCCTGTTGGGTTTCTCCCAGCAAGAATTATGTCTATCTGTGATGGGATCTTGGATGATGATAAGCACTCCCACTTTATGCAGATGATCAGTATGTGATTGCCAGTTCTTTACATAGGAAAGCATATCATACCTCAAGCCAGTGATATTAATTGTTTGAAAGCAAGAATTAGACTATGTCCACTCTTTAGTAATAACTTGGAGCAATGCAGGTATTTAAATTTCCTGTCAATAAACAGTCCTACAAATCCCAAGCCTAGGATCTGTTGTGGGACTGGCACAGTGGTGCAGGCTGGCATAAGGAAAGCTTGGGGTCTAGATGTAGGAATGCACTGGTGAGAGGAGTGGAATGCCTGCGTTTGTTCAGCAAGATATCTGAAAGAGTTTTCTATATGTGGCACATACCCTTCAAGCCAGTGTGTGACTGGGAATCATAGCTGAAACTTTCTCCTTTTGGATTTTGCAGGCCTTGGTCATTCTTTCTGGGGATGGATGGCTTGTTGGCTTTCATAAAAATGCTGCTTGTGACCTTGTCTTACTTATTTTTTGATAACATTTTGATTTCTGGTCTGTTGGGAATCATACCGCATGCTATACGGTATTCTGCAATAGGTATTTGTGGAAGTTGTTTGCAGGTCTACGTTTTCAGTGTTGGATGGTCTTGTGAGCAACCTCGAGTTGGGTCTGCTACCCTTGTGACTAGAGAACTACTGGAAAGGGTGGCATGGGGCACTCTCCTCCCTCTGCTTGAAGCTGTGCTGGTAGGATTTTAAACTCATCTGCTTGCAGATGGGGACCTTGGCCTAGGCTCTAGTTGCTCCTAGCCTCCTCTTACGTTTTGCGTTCAACAATAAAATGCAGGAAAAAATAAAAAAGTCAGGGGAATTTTAAAATTGATGATGCAGTCACTTTGGTGTGGGATAACAGGATCTCCCCGTGGAGGCTGCGCTTCCTCTAGTGTCCTTGTTGCACTGATCCTCCCACCCCATCCTACACACACACACACACACACACACACACACACACACACACACACATTTTAGTGGTGGCTTTTGCTGGGCTCAGAGGAGCAAACCCCACCCTGTTTCTGACCTGCGCCTGGCAGGAGGGTCATGTGAGGCAGGCAGTCCGCGGCACTGTCTGACATCTGGAGGTCCCCAAGGAACACCTCGAGTCCCGGCAGGCTCACTACCACAGAGCTACACCAGCGCTCGGCTGATCTGTGAGATGCAACAGCAATACACGTCACCTCTCTCTGCTTGTTGGCTGCAGAGGAAACTTCTGGAGGGCTCCTTGCTGATACAGGAGGAAATCAGCTAAAAACCAAATCACTGCAGCCATGACATAATGTGTTAAAGAAACAATGAGTAGAAGGTTTCAGTGATCCACAGGAAATATCTAATCATCTTTCCAACTAGGTTGCTGCTAAGAACAAGGTGCTTTTGGCCATGGCTTGCCTCAGATAGTAGGTGCTTAGAGAATTTAAGTGTTGGGTTCTTCTGAGATTCGGAAAAAAGTGAGTGGATGTTTCAGAATCTTGTTTTGACACTGGAGTCCGAAGGAGCACTTAAGTACCATGTGCCTAGATGATATGCTGGTTGTCATGACTTTTAACCATCATATCTTGGGTGATTTCAAGAAAAGACAGCATACTAGTGAAATGGTTAAAATGTTAGTGGTTTTAAAAACTATTTAACCTTTTGGCTAGCTTGTGCTATTTTCTTTCTAAATCTCAATCTTGTTGGCTTTTTTTTTCTGCTAATTCAAATATTTTGCATTTTGAATATAATATGGCTTAGCGGCCCTGCTGATCTGAAACAAATGGCTCTTTCCAACTATTGTTGTGACTAATGGAGGGCATTGTCCAGGGTGTAGATCCATCAAGTGAAGTGACACAGGCATGCTGTATCCAACAGTGTGTTTGTGCCAGAGGCTACTTGCATTCAAATACAGAAACTCTTGGTTCACATCAAAAATCTTTCCGGATTTCGCTAATAACTCACACCGATACCTAATTAATGGTGTTAGTACCTTGTTGCAAAGGCACTGGTGCCTACAGCTGCTATTGGGCTGTCTTCCATTGACTGATGCATGAAGCTGGATTAGAAGGCAAAGGATCAGTGGTTAAGTAGCTGAGGGAGGAGGTATGAAGTGTGTGTACATACAGAAAAATTTTCTTTTTCTGTTGCTATATATCATGTATGGTATTTTTTATCAGATAAGTATAATTCTTAATTGCTTTCCTTGCCTAAGCAGATACCTTACTGTGGAACCTGGCAGGTATATTTTTCCCTTTTAAGAGTGTGACTAGTCACGTGACAACTTATCAACTGGCAGGTGAGTTCTGAGGTAGAGAACTGGGGATTTGGTATGTAAAGTAGGGCATGGAGATTACGCTTTTTGTTATGATCTGACAGTGACATTGCTTGCAATTGCCTCAGTTTAACCAGTTGAATTGTATAGATGAAAGGAAATACTGCTCCTAACAGCAGAGAGGGCTATAGGCTATCAGGAAGGCCAAGTCTGGGACTTTAACACCTGAAACACAGACATGTCAGGGCTTGAAAACTATGTGTTGAAGAGTTTACACTGTGCAACTTAGGAGTTCTCCACAAGCTTTTCCTTTTTTGGTAGTCCTACTAAATGGAAAACATAGGATCTGTTTATTTAACTTTGGGGATTTACAGTGAAATTCTGAGGTTTCTCATGAAATTGGACCTAACATGTAGTTTGAGAGCTTTTATGGAAGGGGTCTGTTTCTTGGTTGTCTGTAGGCCTGTACCAGTGGAAGGGAGATTACATCCTGTCAAGGTATGCCAAGTGTTACCCAGTGCAAAGTTTAAGTGCTGGTAACAACTGTATTAAGATGCTTCCAAAACCTCTAGTGATTTTGTGGCACAGTCTCTAGGGCAGTTGGGTTATTATACAAGCCAGATGCTGCAATATAATACAGAATAATTCTTAATGTTGTCACTCCTATACTAGGAAATTCAGGAGAATTATTTCAGTTTGAATACACAGTAAAATTTTGCACATGTATTGCTGAGTTTTAAAGTATCTAACCTACTTCAATTTCAGAATATATTTTGAAGTTGGAGGCTAGTGATTTATGAAGATTAGTAGTGGGAAGCATAGTTTCATTCTAGCTGAGTTACATGATGTTATTTCTCTATATCAAAACGGTCTTGAACTTCAGACACATGTATGTCTAACCAAGCTCTTCACATAGATACGCAAGCCTGTGACATGTGGGAGCATGTCAAGATCACTTGGATGCTTGTCTACAACACACCTTTGCAATTCGATGTGCCTGGACTGATAAATGACTTACATGCCTAAATTATGTAGTCATGCTTCACAGATGAAGGTGCAGCTCTCTGTTATCACCTGGCCTGATGCCTGTAGACTTATTAGGTACATTAGATGCTTTTGTTGGTTTTACTGGAGAAATTAAACTGCTGAAGTGCTGTGTAATGCAATTTACCAGTTTTTGAGGCTGTATGCAATGTTTTTAGCACCTTTTCATGCCTGCAGACCCTGTAGCTCTGCCTTTTTCTCTTTTTTTTGTTTGTTTTATGTTGTTTATCTGTTTTGGTTTTCTTACTGGGGTAGAGGACTAAAGTGTTTGAATGAAAAAGATTCTTGTACTTCAGGGTTGAACTCAAACACCTGAGAAGATATAATCTGCAATAATTCCTCCCTTAAACCTACTTTTTTTTTTGAGTGAAACTAGATAATGTCAAAGCTTTGTGTTACAAAGTTATGGAAAATTATTAAAGACACTGAAGCAGCTCATGGTCTGGAAGAATATCCTGTGTGTATAGTTGTTTCTAGGGCATGGAGAGTTCCAGCTGATTACTTTTTAGAAGTCTGTATCTTTATATGTCCATAGACTTAGCCTAACTAGCTGTACCAGGGAACAGACTTCTATGTAAATCATTTAACTTAAATTACAGATATGCTATATAAAAAAATACTGACTAGATGAGAATTAAAAGCAACCTAAGAGGTTACAGAGGTCAACATTGCAGGGTGGTCACAGTACTGAGATACCTGCTGAGTGACAACACTCTTAACCAAGCCACGCAGGGAGAGGGCATTTGGTCTCCCTGATTGGAAGAGTTAGCATGACACTTTATGGGCGTGTGAGACATTACAAGAAGAAAAGCACTTCAGGATAGATCAGCTTAGGGCTCCCTTAATTCATTGAAAATGAGCTGCCTTGGCAGTTACTGAGAAGACTCTTCATTAGCTGGTTGTCTTTAGGAAAAAGCACAATCTGGTTTTCCACCCAGTCCCTGATATGCTGACCGGTGCAAGGAGAAAACAAGCTCAGAGCAAACTAAAGGTTTTGTTCCATCAATGTTTCCTTCTGTGTCGGTGTTGGCTTTAGTATCTTGCCTTGTCTCAATCACACACACCTCTCTTTGTGCTGCCCCTCTCACCCTCTTTGTTCACTCATTTTGGCTGATTATTTTTAATCAGCATCAGTTCAACATGTTACCATGCCAACAGAGAGGCACTGGCTTTGCTGACTGAGGGCTGTCGGGGAAGGCTGTTTAAAATGAGCATTGCTGCTTTAAAAAAGGCTTTTGAAAGTACAGCCTGGGAGCAGGGAGAAGAAAGCTTCATTAAA